GGAGCTGGTTTTGGAGAACAGTCTGGACTTTCTGCTCAGACCCAGAGCTGACATGTGGTGACTGAGGAAAGAGCGACCCCTGGTGGCCGAGACACAGCACGACAGACAGACAGACAGACAGACAGACAGAGGGAAACACCAGTCGTTAAATCAGTGACAGCAAACCAACACCAGAAGAACCAGAACCAGAAGAATTAAGCGTCACTTGCTCCCAACAGTTTTCACACACAGAAACGTGTTTGTGTCTCCAGTGAGTTCTAACCAGAACGTCTACAAAATGTCAACACACCAAGATCCCAACAAAAGGAAACAAGGAGACGTGAGTAAAAAGAGAAAAGATAAAAAAAGAAACGAGTTCTGCTGCAGCAGCACGTCTGATTACTAACGTTTACATTGGAGACGCCCATGAAGACTGACGAGGTGAACCGACATCACTTTGGTCTGGGTGTCTCTTTGTGGTTGTTTTGTGTCTCTTTGTGGTGGTTTTGTGTCTCTTTGTGGTTGTTTTCTGTATCCTGACTTGTTGTCTAACCAACAGGTTTGTTTTGTGTCTCAGGTGGAAAACAGAGTGAAGCTCCGTGTTCAGTGACGAGTGTGTGAAAACCATCATGTCAGTGTTGTGCGAGGCATGTTGTGTGTTGTACGTTGTGTAGCTGCCAGCTTCCCTCCAGAGTGTGTCCAGAGACCCAACATGAGGACCAACATTCCTGCAGGTTGAACTCAGAGCAAACGCCTCCAAATCAAACATTCAGTCGGACTAAACTTGGTCACCAGAGAGAGACGCTCAGATCTGCCTGATCCGGTTCATACACAGTTCTGGAGGGTTCTACAGAGTTCTACAGAGACATCATGATTGAACTGGTTCCTGCTGGATCCCTGTGGTAGTGGTTCTGCAGCAGAGAGCTGGCATATTGCTCAAACAAATCAATAATATTGATCAGTACTGACCCTGGATGAACTATGAGACGAGAGGTTCTGGCCCGACTGTAAAAGGTCTCGTGGTGGGTTTGTGTCTCTGAGGTTGTTGTGTGTCTCTTTGTGTGTCTTTGTGTCTCTGTGGTGAATCTTACTGGCTGGGTGTGGCGGCGTCCTGCTGCTCCGTGCTCACGCTGCCATTGGCTGCTGGGGGCAGCGGCGAGCCTCTCTGGGACCCGGACGGACTGGAGGCGGAGCTATCGGAGGTCAGCGGGGACGACGCCCTGCTGCCGAGCACCGTGGAGGGGGAGGAGACACAGGGGGAGACGGGGGAGAGGATGGGGGAGGAGAGGGAGCTGGAGGGGGACAGGACGTCCGGCAGGCTCTGGTTGGACGAACGACGGCTCTTCCGTCCGTCCTGCTCGCCGGCAGCCATCTTCCGTCTCTCCTTACGGAGGTGAGGGGAGGAGTCATCGATGTCACCGTCCTCGTACCTGAGAGCCGTCTACACACACACACACACACACACACACACACACACACACACACACAGGGAGTGATGTCACATGCTGCTCTGATTCGCTGCAGGTGTAAACACCATGCCAGCGGTGGTTGTTGCCATGGTTACCTCATAGATGGTGAACTGCGCCCTCAGGTCAGGCTCCGCCCCCTTGTTGTTCAGGTACTTGCTGATGACGGCCTCCATCCCCAGCTGCTCCAGACTGTCGGTCACATCGTAGAAGGAGTCCTGGTCCGGGAGCACCGCCAGAGTCTGCCACAAACAAACAAACAAACAAACAAACAAACAAACAAACAAACAAACAGACTCTGTGGTCACCATGATGACACACTGTTTGCCTTTTCTGATTTTTTTTTGTTTGTTTTAGTTTTTCCTTCGTAACTGCTCACCTTGCTGAGAGTTTGTTTACCTTTATACATTTTGTTTACCTTATTCACAGTTTGTTGATGTCACTACCTGGTTGTTTACATCTCTGGTTGTTTACCTCCCTTGTTGTTTAACTCCCTGGTTGTTTACCTTATTGGTTGTTTACCTCTCTCCCTGTCTGGTTGTTTACCTCCCTGTCTGGTTGTTTACCTCCATGGTTGTTTACCTCCCTGTCTGGTTGTTTACCTCCCTGGTTGTTTACCTCTCTGGTTGTTTACCTCCCTTGTTGTTTACCTC